TTTTTTTTTTTTTTGAGAAAAATTAGGACTACTAAGGAAGATTGCAACATCAAACTACTACAAGCTGTCAACCCTCTTTACCTCCCTCCGGCAAGACTTACTGCAGCAGAGCCACCATCTCCACTGCTGCTGTACCCTAATTCCATCCTACTAGCTAGCCCTCCTCACTAATAGGACGCTTGACATCCCACCATCTACTTATCCCACTCACCTCAATTTTGAGAAATTCGAGAAGATTTGAGAAAAATATAGAGAAAATTGGAGAAACGAAAATCAGAGCTAAAACCGCCACCAATCCAAGTCAAACCCTCACTACAGCCGAGAAACCGCCACTCAAGCCTTCAGTCCTCGTACCAGAAGTCGCCAGTTCTCACGCCCCCCTTGCTAGGGTTACAAGGCAAAACCAACTGCCCCAGCACCGAACTAACTGTCTTCTTACGGACAGGAAGTGTCTTCCTCCCTCGACAACTTCCTTAGCTGCCAACCCCCAACCGGGTTACAGGGTCACTGCCCCAGCCTCAGCTACGTTGAAAGAAATGGTTATGCCTTCCACCCTTGGCATAGCTTCAATGGCCTCAAGCTCCGCTCCATAGTCACAGAGCCGCTGCCCCAGCACTGGCCACTGTCGCCCCACCCCATCCTTCTGGTAGACTTACCACCCTGAGTCACCCTTCCCCTACTGCGAGCCCCCCCCCAAAATTACTTCCAAACCTTACTTCCGATTTTCTCCCTCCATATGAAAAAAACGAAAAGGAGGAAGGTCAAGAACTACAACCACCAATAATCCAACTCCTACCCTCGTCACTAATGAAAGATACATCGACCAAGCTTTCAGTCCTCGTACCAGAAATCATTAGATCTCATACCCCCCAGCTAGGGTTACAAGGCAATGCCTGGGCGCAGCGCTGCGCCCCGGCAGCATCAATCATCAATCAAGGTCACCACCACGGAGAGGAGCCGCACGCCGGATAACTGCACGCAGCAAGGAAAATAGCGCGCACGCGCTCGACGATTGCGCGCGATTGGGCGCGTGCCCTAAGCTGAAAATTGGACCACCGGTGGCCTACGCTGAGGAGCTGAGGTGGTCCAAATTTCAGACCAAACGGTCCAGCGGATCATGAGATATCGAAGTTCTAGGGCGCGCCATGAAATTCGAGCGTGTCGGGCGATGAGGACGACGGGGGGATGGAATGGCATCTAACAACCTCAACACCTGCTGTTTCCTGACTTTTGAAAGCAGTTCTACTGCCATCTCTCTACTTTGCGCTTCAAACGAGTGATGCTACAGGATAGCATGCCGGATGAAGGAGGGTATTGCTTATTTGGGCATTACTCTAGGAGTAATCACTAGTGCTCTTCATCTTGCGACTTTTGGTGGAGGAGGTCGGCTCGGCGCGAGAAGAAGAAGAGTACAGTGTGTCCCGTGGAGTGGGAGGAGGATTGTCAGAGGATAGTGAGTGGGAGGGCTTCGAGGAGAGAATCCAAGTTTTGTCAAGTGCTCATTACAAGGGGGAGGCTTCTACTCGAATGATCGTCATTCTTTCTGCTTCATCTACATTGCATCTACAGGGCATATCATCAGCGTATCATCAGCTTCAGCAGCAGCCGTATTGTCATCATTATCATTATCACCATGATGATCATCATCAGTAACGAGATTAGTCATCATCGTCGCCATCATCACCATCATCTTCATGTTCAACATCAAGGTGGAAAGAACGTGGCAGCGAGAGTGTTGGGCAACAAAAGGACAGAGAGGAGCAGCAGCATCAGTATCAGCATTATCAGCAGCAGTAGCAACATTTCTGACATCACCATCATCATTATGTGCATCTTTATTGGTGAGTCATCATCATCTTCATCATCAGCTTCATCATCATCATCATAATCATCATCATCATCATCAGTATCATCATCAGCATCATCATCATCATCATTATCTTCATCATCATCGTCAGCATAACTGACATACCATCATCATCATCATCATCATCATCAATATGAGCGTATTCATTGGTGTGTCATCATCATATTCATCTTCATCATCATCATCATCATCAGCATCAGCAGTAGCAGCAGCAGCATTATTGATATCATCATAATCATCATCATGAGTATCATCATTGGTTAATCTTCTTCATCATTATCATCATCTTTATCATCATCATCATCTTTATCGATAACTTTTTGTTATCAGTAGAGTTTGCTCTTCAAGGCTTAGTGTCGCTTTTCGTATCATCATCATCATTCCCATTATCATTACCTTCATGGTGCTATCCTTCACCTCCAACAAAATCCAA